AAACATTAGCTCCTACTTTGGGACTGACTTGCTTTGCGTTCGTGGTGTCCTTTCTATGCAGTATTTGACACCGTATTTGCTTGCCTAGGGGCAAAGTAGGTGCTCAGCAAATGTTGAATGAATGACTGGAGAACTGGACCAAAACTCTGTAGGTCGTGATTAGGGAGAAATGGCCTCGGATATAAAATGGATGCTTGTTCCAAAGTCAGTTTGTGGTATCGCGGGGTGAGCCCAGTCTCTGGAAGAACAAAGGTGGCTTTGTGAAGGCCAGAGGACCTTGCTGCGCATGCCAGTGAACAGATTGACCACTCTTAAGATTGCAAAGTAGATGTCTAAAGCCTGAACGTTTACTGGGAATTTCTCTATTTCCTTTTACTTATTTTATTTTCTAATCTCAAATGTACACATTTGTGCTGAAAAATAAATGCAAAAACAAACTCCCCTAATTCCATACGATGAGGCCCACACAGTGGCTGTCATCCCAGTCACGGTGGTGGCGCAGGCACTGGCCAGCAGTTTGACAGTCCCTGAGGGCCCTTCTCCTCCCAGCCCCAGCAACCCTGAGTCCGTTGTCTGAGCCAAAGGGGCCGGAGCCCTGTTCCCTGAACTTCCCGCGCTCTTCTTGGGCTCAGTCAAGGGAAAAGAAAGACTTTTCAAGCCAGTGGCACAAGTGAATGCCAGACTGGCCTGGGAGACTGGCCTGTTCCAGAGGAACACAGAGGTGATTCCGCTCAGCTGCTGCTAGTGAAGGCAGCCCCCGGAGAGAAACCCTAGCTGGACGTGGTTTCCCCAGATCAGGAAGGACAAGGGGACAGCACAGTGGTCGCTGAAGAGGACTGCTCTGAGGGTCCGCTGTGCCCCCCTGCCAGTCCAGTGCTCCAGCCACGGGCCAGCATCTTGTGCTTTGCTCCCGCTCACCTTCCTCCGCCTCCGTCCTCTAACTCTTCGTCTAGAACTAAAGGCATATTTTATGTTTAGCTACATTTATTGGATAAAGCGTTGTTTTCCAGTGCTAATTTTTAAAGTGAGCGTTTTTCTATGCTCTTCTGACAGAGCCCCCCTCTGGGGTCCTTAGTTATTTTCCTCCTCAGTGTCTTCATCATTATAACTTTAAACATGTTTTGTGAATTTTTTTCCTAATGCTAAGACTTTTTCTTTCTTTTCTTGGTTATGCCTTACAGTCTAGTTTTTCAAACTAAGATATGCAGTACACTTTTTTCTATTTGAATAGGATGTTGATAACCCCATCAGTGCTCATAACTGCTACTGTGATCATTTTGTAAATGATACTATTTAACATTTAAGCACCAAAGCAGTGATCATAATAGTTGTGTCACGCTTGGGATTTATAGTAACGGCTGTTATTTATTGAACTTGTGCTGTTTTGTTTTTTTTTTTTTACATTTATTTATTCAAGAGAGAGTATGAGGGGGAGAAGGTCAGAGGGAGAAGCAGACTCCCCATGGAGCTGGGATCCCCATGTGGGACTCGATCCTGGGATGCTGGGATCGTGACATGAACCAAAGGCGGTTGCCCATCCAACTGAGCCACCCAGGCGCCCTGAACTTGTGCTTATTTGATGGCTCTGTCAAAGTATAGTTGACATACAATGAACTGCACGTATTTAAAATACAAAGTCTGATCCGTTCTGACATACGTAGCACCTGTGAAACACTCACTATAATCAAGACAATATGCGTACCCTTCACTCCCTAAAAGTTCCCTCATGCCCTTTCCTCCTGTTACCTTCTCATCCCCCAGCCACCACTGTTCTGCTTTCTTTATGGATTCATTTGTATTTCCGTAAAATTTCACATAAACACGGGTCGTTTGGGTGTCTCCGTTGGTGAAGTGTCCAACTCTTGATTTCCACTTGGGTTGTGATCCTAGGGTCATGAGATGGAGCCCACGTCGAGCTTCACGCTCAGCGCAGAGTCTGCCTGAGATTCTCTCTCCCCTTCTCGCCCTTCCCACCCACTCCCTGCTCATACTCTGTCTCTCTAAAATAAATCTTTTAAAAATGTTTACGTAAACACAGTCTTACAATATGTTTGAATTCTTTCACTCAACATAACTATTTCGAGATTAACTGACACTGTTGGCTGTATCATTGTTCGTTCCTTTTGTTCCCAGTGAGCCAGTACAGCATAGATTATGGGTCCCTTCACCTATCGAGGGGCGTTTAGATGGTCTCTGGTTTAGGGCTGCTACAAAGTTTCTGTGAGCAACTGTGGACATGTGCTTTCATGTCTCTTGGGTAAATACCCAGGATTGGAGTGGCTGGTCATGCTGTAGGCATGTGTTTGACTGTTTGAGAAACTGACAGACTGTTTCCAGAGTGGTTGTATTGCTTTCCATTCCCTCAGCGGCAAACAAGAGAGCTGTGGTCACCTCACATCCTCTCCAGCACCGGTACGGTTGTGTTTTTCATCTTGGCCGTTCTAGCAGGTATATGCGGGGTTTATGGCTTTGCTGACTTTCACTGGCAGTGCTATACAATTGTCTTCCGTCTGGCATTTTTCTGGCGTGAAATCTGTTGTTCTTCCTTATCTTTGTCCTCTGAATAGATGCTCCTCTCCTCCTACCCCCTCGAACCTGACTTTTTAGACTTTTCTCTTTTACTTATTTAAACAATTTGATTCTGGTGTTCCTTGATATACTTTACTTCATTTCTCTGACTTAGGGTTCATGAGTTCTTCAATTGGTGAGATCATAGTTTTCATTAAATTTGGAAAATTGCCTGTTACTATGTCTTCAAATATTTCTTCTATCCTCTTGCCCACCCTCCCACCCCCCGCCCCTGTTCATGGTCAAATACACATCTCTTTGGCCACTTGAAGTGGTCTCACAGGTTACTGATATTCTGCTCAGTTTTGCTCTGGTTCATTTAAAATCGTGTGTAGTGACATCTCCACATCCGCTCATCTCTGTCATGTCTGTTCCACTCTTGTTGCTCTTCCAGATTCCGACCTCACATGTTCAGACTTCCCTCTAGCTTCTTGCTACCCTTATCTGCTAATTCCATGTCATCTGGGTTTCCTGGGGCTGTTTTAATTGATTTTTTTTTCCTCATTACTGTTCAGATTTTCTCGGTTTTTTGTTTGTTTGTTTGTTTGTTTTGTCTTGTTTTATTTTTTACATGTTAGGTGTTTTTCTTTTTTCTTTCTTTCTTTTTTGAGTATAGTTGACACAGTGTTACATGTCTGGTATTTTTTATTTAATGCCAGGCATTATTGATGTTCGATTTTGCATTCTTGTGTCTTTGAGCTTTGTTCTGGGATATTGTGAAGTTACTTGGAAATGGCTTAGCTTTTTTAGGCCTTGCTTTTAAACTTTGCTAGGTGGGACCAAAACAGCATGAAATCTGCAGGTACTTTCTTCCTACCACTTGGGTAAGAGCATTTGGGGTATGCTACCCGGGGCCCTTTTGTGCTTTTTATTTCTCTCTGCCCATGGGGCCAGGCACTGTTCCTGCCCTCTGTGAGAGCCAGTGATCCTTTTCAGGGATTTTTTTACCCCCAAGCCACAGGTGGTTTACTCATACCAATGCCTTGATCAGTGTTCAGGTGGAAATGCGAGGAGGACCAACTTTGGTAGGTGTCTAGAGTTCTCTCTTCCAGCTCTCCTCGCTGTACTCTGTGCTTTGGATCACAGCCAACAGTTTCCTCCCTGGACACACAGCAGTATGTCCATGATTCTCTATATGAGCTCCCTCCCCACCGTGGCTCGGGGCAGCTGAAGGGTGCACCTCTCTCCAAACAGCCAGAGATTACTGTCCTTCATTGCCTCCTGTCAGTGTCTTTAACTGTGTGTATGCGTACTTGTCTCTATGTGTGTATTTTAAATGTTTCAGGTAAGTTAGGTAAATCTCATGTCTATAACTCTATTCTGAAGTAGATTTTTCAAATTGCTTAAATGATTTTAAATGCATGAAAACAGTGGGGCTCATTGGCCCGTTGCAGCACAGTGTTCTGGGGTCTGGTGAGAGACCTGGCTTGTGACCAAGGTTGGAAGGGCTTCTGCCTGCTGTCGGGATATGGTGTGTGCCTCCCTGGCTCTGTTGTGTGTAAACTCCATAGGAGTGAATCTACTCAATCAGCATGAGAGCCGACACCTGTAATTCCCTTGTACTTTGTGGTGTCGGGTTCATATTTATGTGTTTCACTTAGTCTTTTTTTTAGAACATCCTACCTACTCACATTTTTGCATCTTTTAAAAATCTGTTTCTTTTAATGGAAAGCATGGCTTTTTCTAACGAAGGAATTGACAGTATTGATTTTTCTTTTTTAGAGATCGTGCGTGTGAGGGTGGGGGCAGGCAGAGGAAAAGGGACAGAGGGAATCTTTTGTTTGTTTGTTTGTTTGTTTAAAGATTTTATTTGTTTATTTGCCAGAGAAAGATCACAAGTAGGCAGAGAGGCAGGCAGAGAGAGAGAGAGGGAAGCAGGCTCCCTGATGAGCAGAGAGCCGACACGGGACTCGATCCCAGGACCCTGAGATCATGACCTGAGCCAAAGGCAGAGGCTTAACCCACTGAGCCACCCAGGTGCCCAGGACAGAGGGAATCTTAAGCAGGCTCCACACTCAGCATGGAGCCCTGTGTGGGGCTCATAAATGTGAGGTGATGACCTGAGCCAAAGTCAGGAGTCAGATACATAACTGACTGCGCCACGCAGGCATGCTGACAGCACTGATTTTTTTGACATGAAATTTAAAAGCCAGATGCTCTTCTTGTGATTACAGAATAATTTGTCTATCAGATTTATCATTAGTATGACCTCTGAAAACTATTTCCAACTCTTGTAATTAAGATTTTCAAAGTCTGTGTTCTTTAATATAAAAATAAAATGTAGTAAGGGTTAAAATTTTTAGAACATGTAAGAAGAAATAAGGAAAGAGAACATTTTAAAATTACCTATAGTATCATATCTGGAGATAACTATCTGGTACACTTCCTTTTAGATATATTTTTTCCAATTATTTTCCTATTTTACATTTTAGTGGAAGACTTATGACCCTGCATTTTCCCAGCTGGAAATTTGGCTCCGATTCGTCTTCGTGGTGCTCACCTTCATTGTCACTGTAAGTCCCATTTGCCTGACCGACCACGTCAGAATCCTAACAAGGCTGAGTTAATTTATGAATTAGGGTTATCACAGTGTGAACTGTGGAAGGAAACCGTAAAAGACTCGTAACTATGGAGAACAGACAGGGTTACTGGATGGAAGGCGGGAGGGAGGATGGCTGAATGGGCATTAAGGAGGGCGCATGCTGGGACGAGCCCTGGGTGTTGTATGTAAGTGACGAATCACTAATTTCTACTCCTGAAACCAATTTTACACCATATGTTAACTAATCTGAATTTAAATTAAAGTAAAAAAGTGTGAACCACACAGGAGATTTATCTGAACTCCGTGATGCTCCATCCAGTGGGCAGACCTGATATCACCCAATATTCCGAATGTCCGCTAGGACGCTGTGGTGCAGAAAGAGTGTGTGGTATCTGCTCATAAGGACCTGTGTGTGGTGTCCTAGTGAGGGCAGACCCCTGGCTTTTAAGCAAATGCTCATCAGGGTGCAGTGACAGTGCCATTTCACCTGCCTTGTTTGAACGACCTTCTTTTTATGATACAGCACACGCTTGGGTTTTTTTTTGCATTTGGAAAATTTACCAGACCTTTCGGTCTCTGGGCTTTTTCAGGAGGAAGGCCTCAGATGAGTGGGTTTGGAAGTATGAGCTTTTGGCTCCTTTGGGGTCTGAGTTCAGTGTCTGCAAGCACCCTGTGACTTTGGGGAAAATGTTTGCCCTTGAAGTACAAGTGATCCCCACAGAGGCCCAGTCATGAAGATGGGAATTTAAAACTGGAGGAAGAACATCAGGACCGACACACATATGGGGGGAGGGAACGGGGGCTTGTGGTGGTGCTTTGCGCCATCTGAAGGGCGACATCCCACCCCCTGGGCTGCTTGCCCCTGGCTCACGCGGAGGGTGTGCCATGCAGGAGCTATGTCCCCTCTTTACAGTGGGGGCCACTCCAGTTGCCACCCAAGCAAGGATAGCTTGGTGCTTCACAGTCCAACTGTACGCAGAAGGACATAGGCTCGTTGGGGACAGACATGTGAGGAAAGTGTCAGTTGGTGGTGACGTGGCACCTGCCTGTAGATGAGGGGGTAGGACTCAGCCACTGGCAGACCCTGGACTCTGCCAATAGCTGGAGATCGTGGTCCCAGCCACTCCCAAGGTTTCCCCTAAGGAACTTGCTGAAGCTGAGTGGAGAGCTGCTGATTGTGTTTGCTCAGCAGAAATCCTTGCTGTTTCTTGAAGCATCTTTGTTGTCTGAGGGGCTGCTGCCACACTCTGGGGCCCAAAGTGTGGGCACCCAGGGCACGATGTTCTTAAACAAGAGAAATGAGCCTGAGCCTCACAGCCTAGGAGAAATGGCCTAAATTCCCTAGGAAATCATTGGCTTATGTTAGATTACAGAAAAAAAAAACAAAACAAAAAACTCCAGGTCTTTTACACAAACTCTGTACTGTTTTAAAGTACTTTAAAGACACTCCCATGGCTCAACACAGCTTCTTCAGGGAGGTGTTTGTTCAGGGAGCCCTGGTGCCCTCCTTAGAAGCTGGTGCCATCTATAGATGTCGCCTGGGTGGGGTGTGTGGCCTGCCACAGGGAGGTCCTCTGTGTGGCTGTGTGGGGCCCACCTGATGGATGTAGCCTGTCCTGGTGGGAGCTAGGGTGGGTAGGGAGTTAGGGCCGGTGTCTCCCCCACCCCCTCCTGCCCCTTGGAGAACAGCTTGTGCCATTGTACCCGCAGCTCCTTGCCAATGACTCACATCTTACCTTAGTCTCAGTCAGTGTAGCCAAGGGTTAACTCGGGTTTGGCTGACTCTCACTCAGAGAAGACTTCACGTGATGCGTGATACCGTGATAGTGATACTGAGCAAGGCAGAAGCAAACACAGTAACTTGAGTTCCTGATTCGGTTTGTAGTGCCTGTTTGCACATTCCCTCCGGAAGTTTTCCATGCGAGATTGGGGGATGGAGCAGAAGTGGATGTCCATTCTTTTGCCTCTGCTGCTGCTTTACAATGGTAGGTGCCCATTTGTATTTTGGAGCTCTCCGCCTTTAAAGCTTGAAGCTGGAAGGCGTCCCAGAACCGCTCTGGCCGCCGAGGAGCCGCTGGAGGAACAGGTAGCGGCACCTGCAGAGCGCGAGCTGTGCGGCCCCGGGACACAGCGGATGCCTGGCGGCTCTCACCAATGAGCGATTGGTTCGGTGGTTAAATCCTGGAAGGGCTGCAGATGCAGCTGTCTTGGAACTTGGCTGGAGGCAGCCGGTGCTGCCGTCTGTGCCTCTTCCCCTGCTTCAGAAACGTTTGCTTGCAGAGCCCCAGCACCGGGATTCCCGGGCCTATGGGGCAGAGCGGCTGGCGGGAGCAGCCGGTTCTCTGTAATGATCACTGGGGCAATCTGTTCACTGGCTTTTTGGTTTTTTGAAAAACAAAACAGCCTTTAGTTCACTACCTCTCTTTGGCTCTGACCGAGGAGAAGGTGATGGTGAGTCCTGCCCTCGCTGAGAGGACAGGTGCCCTGTGCTGGGTGGGGTGAGCCTGCCTCCATCAGGCCCTTCCGTCTGTTGCCTTCCAGATCCTTTCTTCCCGCTCTCCTTTCTGGTGAACAGCTGGTTTCCAGGCATGCTGGACGACCTCTTCCAGTCCGTGTTCCTCTGTGCCTTGCTGCTCTTCTGGCTGTGTGTGTATCACGGGGTCCGCGTCCAGGTGAGCCTACACCCTCGGCCCTGCCAGAGGGGGTCAGAGACCCCGAACTTCTGGTCCACCCTCTGGTGACAGCCCTTACAGGCAACTTCTCCTTGAGACTCTGTCTTCAGCCTCCGTGAGCAGGAGAATGCATGCTGTGAAGAAATGACTGGAGCGTCTGTGATCTAGTGTGGTCTACCAGGGGTTAACGGTTTGCCAGAATTACTAACTTATTTCTTACCTTTTTTTTTTTTTAATTTTTATTTTTAGGGAGAAAGGAAGTGTTTGACTTTCTATTTGCCTAAATTCTTCATTGTTGGACTATTGTGGTTGGCTTCTGTCACACTGGGAATATGGCAGACGTGAGTAATTTTGTTATGTGGGAAGCCTCAGGCATGGAAAGCGTTTGACAAAGGTGGACAGATCTGACGTCTCAGTGTATTTTGTGAACCCATCTGGAAGGGAATCTGTCACCAGGGTGACTTGATAGCGGGACTTGAACTGAGGATTCATTTCAGCCTGACTGGCATATAGAAAACACAGTTCTAGTCCCAGTTGGAAAATGATAAAGACCACACATTGTTTTAGATTTATCCTTCAGAGTGGCAAAGACATCATCATCTGTAGGAATGGGACTCCAGGGTCCTGGCTCCCCGTCCCCCCAGAAGCTTTAGTTTCTCCCTGCGCTTGCATCTGTGAACTCCCCATCCCTGCTTCAGCTTCCTGGGCTTATGGTAACTAGTGGTTTTGTCCTGTAAAATGGGGCCACCGCAGAAGCCTCACGTGATCACAGCTCGATGCACCTGAGTAGGAGTTTCTGCAGAAACGAGTTCCGTTCCGGGGTTACGGTTTTGGCCCTTGGCTCATTGGACTCCACGGCCCAGTAATGATAGCACTCAGCCCGCCTCGTCTCCTTGCCCTGTCCCTGCCTCCTTAGCTACCCGGCTTTACTTTAAAACGAGTTGCATGGAAGTCAGCACTGACTTTTATAGCTTTCTTTGTGTGCTTGTCTATTCCCAGCACCCATACATGACGCTGAAAAGGTGCCGGAAAAACAGTTCTTGACATTGCAGGAGAGATAGTATAGGGACTTTTTGTAACAGAAAATACTGTAATAACTTCACAACATAGACAACTGCAGGCAAACAGTTTAGTAGTGCTGGATACATTTCCAATGTGAAATTTTTTTAAAATCTTACTGTTGGTTAGCAAGTAGTTTATGTTAATAAGATTTATTTGTTTGTTTATTTATTTGTCATCTTGACACCCAGCATGGGGCTTGAACTCACGACCCCAAGATGAAGAGTTGTACACACTACCCACTGAGCCAGCCAGGCACCTCTGTTAAAAGATGATTGTAAAAAGCCGAATGAAAGTAAGCTAATTATTGATCTATGATTTTTCATAATATTGTATTTTCAGAGTTAATGAATTACATGATCCAATGTACCAGTATCGAGTTGACACAGGAAATTTTCAGGTAAGGATTATTAATGATGCCTGAGGGTTTTTTTTTTTTTTAATGCTATTTTTAAAAATTCCTGAATTTTGTAACTTAAATTGTGCTGCTGACATGAGCTTGCTAACTGGCTAGGAGAGACTACAGAATGTTTATGGTGCAAAATTTGGAAAAATGTTTGAGTAGGATGAAAAATAGCTTTTAAAAACAAAGTGGTCAGGGTACCTGGGTGACTTAGTTAAGTGTCTGCCTTCAGCTCAGGTCGTGCTTGGGGTCCTGGGATCAAGCCCCCATCGGGCTTCCTGCTGAGCAGGGAGTCTACTTCTCCCTCTGCCTCTGCAGATCTCCCTGCTTGTCTCTAAAAGAAAAAGATTTTATTTATTTATTTGAGAGAGAGAGTGAGAGCAAGAAGGAGTGGGGGGTGGGGAAAGGCCGAGAGACGGGGAGAAGCAGACTTTCCACTGAGCAGGGAGTCTGATGTGGGGCTCCATCCTGGGACTCCAAGATCATGACCTGAGCCCAAGGCAGATGCTGAACTGACTGAGCCCTTCAGGCGCCCCAACAGATAAAATCTTAAACAAAAAAAGTTTGAAAGACTGGTGGAAATTGCCCTTGCTTGGAAGGTGGTTGTCTGGTGTGAAACGAGCATTCTTCGCTTAATATGTCTTTTTGCTCAATGTCCAGACTAGTTTCCCAGGACTAGAGGTAATATTTGTTTATAAACACTAAAACTCTTTTTAGAAAGAAGGAGGTCTTGGGGCACCTGAGTGGCACAGCTGGTTAAGCATCCAGCTCTTGGTTTCAGCTTGGGTCATGATCCCAGGGTCCTGGGATTGAGCCCCACATCTGTAGGGCTTCCTGCTCAGCGGGGAGTCTGTCTGTCCCTCTCCCTCTGACCCTTCCCCCCCACACACACTCCTGGTGTCACTGGCTCTCTCGCAAACAAATAAATAAAAAATCTTTTAAAAAAAAGTTTCCTTGGTTTATGGTTGTGTCAGATTTTAGGACCCTTGGAGAGCAATTAAGCAAACGTTTTTGTTCATTTAATTCTCTCAAGTCGAGAAAGGTTTCCGAGTGAATGAATGGAGTGTGGGCCTGCAGGCCTGGCAGCTACAGCGCCCAGCACTCTGGGTGACACTGTGCTCTCACCAGTTTAGAATACTTTGTACTTTTGAAAAAGGGGCCCAGTGTCTTTATTTGACACAGAGGTCTGCAAATGGTGTCAGCTATGAGTGTGGCTTTCCCTTGAGTCTCCAGGTTTCTCGACATCCCTTGGCATCGCACAGGGCAGTGCCTCCTGGGCACAGCTGGCTGCTGATGTGTGATGTGTGAGGGGCCGGGGGCCAGAGGGAGCCCTGGGAGGTGTCTAGGAGGCATGCCTCCAGCAGGACAATCCCAGAGGCACAGAGTTGAGTCCCGAGCTTGGGTGATGTCCAACATTTCTCTGGACACTTTGCAGAGCTTCCATGAAGTGGTAGAATATATGGTTGTTTTTGGGACTGGCCTCTGAGAAAGAGGGAGGTTTAGTGAATGATGGTATCTCGAAAGATGTGTCCCTTATGTTGAGAAGACACATGTCAGAGCAAGTAGTATGAGCACCTGATTCTTAACCAGGTTCCAGCAGGGGAGTGCCAGTGGCCTTTCCATCCTGTTATTTAGAAGTCTGAGGAATTCTGAAGGTTGCTCAGTGTATGCCTTATGAGCAGTGTGCCATGGTCTTGGTCCTTAAAGCATATAGGACCTTGTGAGGGAGAAAATGCTTAGCAGAAAGTACAGAGCCACGTGTAGGGTCCTGCCAGCTGTGTCCTTATGGACAGTGGGCCCGAGTTACTGGGGGGGCAGAGGGGTCTTTATTTGTGTTTTGTTCTTTCTTAGCCTTATAAAGCTTTAATAAGTTTTTGGGGGGCAGGGGTATGCCTGGAGCTGGAGAGGAGGGGAGGCATGCTGGGCCTGGGAAGGGAGGTGCCGTTGCAGAGTTGGGTGGGGCCACAGGCAGAGGAAACCAGGCAGGAGACATGGGTCAGGGCGGGCTCAGTGGGGGCTGTGCCTGAGGGAGGCACTGGACACCCCTGGCAGGCTTACGGCCATGTGTGTGAGGGGCTGGGCCTCAGAGCATCCTTTTCTCCTTGAGGTCATGGCCCTAAAGGAAGGGACGGGGAGAGCGGTTTTGACATATTCTCAGGCAAGATTCTGCAGACCTCAGTGGAAGATCATACGGGGGGCTGTCGGTTGAATGCGACTCCCTGGGTTTAGATAAAACAATACAGGTTCGTGCTCATCTGTTAGAGCTTTTGTCTGGTCCAGTCCCCTCATTTTTCATGTGAGGAAACTGGAGGGCAGTCAAGGGTCTTGTCTGAGGTCACACGGGCCAGTGCCTAGGCCAGTGCACCAGCTCCCTGGACAGCCTGCAGGTCAAACCTGTGCTCCTGGCCGCCCCCCGCCCCCACGTCCTCTGTTTTCCCTCTGCGGAAAGGGTACTACTGCGGTCCCTCCTAAGGGGTTGTGCGGGTGGAACTGACCAGGAACAAGAAGCCCTTGGCCGGCACTCGGAGGGACTTGAGCAAGGCAGCCGTCACCGTGGTTATGGTCACCTCTCCCCTTCTCAGTCGGTGGCCTGTGCCTGTTACCAGAGACCTCCAGAAAACTGAAAAAAGCTGAAGACCTGCCCCTGGTGTACCGAGCACCTGCCACATCCCAGGCCCTGTGCCAGGAGCTTTCTGTGCGTCGTGGAAGGAGCTTGGATTCTGGCTTACGCGACCAGCAAGGGCTGGGGCTGTCCCTGGGGGAGCCACCTGTGCTCACAGACAGGATGAGAGGCCGAGTCTAGATAAGCAAGTCACAGTGGTGGGAACATGTCTGTGTTACAGGAACATGTCTGTGACCTTCAGGATTCTGAGCTCCTGTTAAAAATGTTCGGCTCCCCCGCTTGGGGGTGTTGGGAGGAGCAGCAGTGCTGAGCCCCTGTTCTTATTCAGTTGCCCATCTCATGTGGTTCTAGGGAATGAAGATTTTCTTCATGGTCGTGGCGGCTGTGTATGTTTTATACCTTCTGTTCTTGATAGTGCGGGCCTGTTCTGAGCTACGTCACATGCCTTATGTAGGTGAGTGCCCCATGACGAACGGCCTGAGGTGAGGAGGCCCAGGAGTCGACCTCACACCATGGGAGGAGTGGCTGGAGTCCACCCAGCAAGAGGCCTGACCTGGATGGGGACCTGTCCCACTCCCTCATGCTGGGGGCAGTGCCTTTGGTCCCTGGGGAGCCACAACAGGGCCAAATGGGTAACTCTGGGACTTTCAGACAGTGCCTCAGGCCAGCACTAGAGGGAGGCCTGTGGGGTGGAGGGCCTCTGGGGCCCTGGGTGCCAGTGTGGCTATTGGAGCTGCCTGGATCCTTCTAGAATTGTACCCTGTGGAAGATGTGGCTGGGGCTGTTTGCCTCATCCCGGGTCAGGGCCACTCACCTGATCTCCTACGTCTCTCTCCCTCAATCTGTCGCAACGGAATAACAATGGCCACAGTCTCTCTGGGGACCCTCCTTGACTCTGGGGAGGTGGGACAGCATTTCTTCTGGGCTTCAGATGCACACAGGCTTAAAGTCCAGAGGGAGGTGGGGTTTTGTTCTGGAGACTTTGTTTATTTTTTGTCTTTATTTTTAAGCTCCCTGAGATGAGAGTGGAATTTACTTCCCAAGTGATTTAATGGGGTATTTGTTTCTTTTTCAGATCTCAGGTTAAAATTTTTGACTGCATTGACTTTTGTAGTGCTCGTCATTAGGTAAGAAGACTTTATTTCTTGAAAGAAGTGAAACAGCGTATTTGTATTTTCCTGTCATGAATATCTTTTCTTCCCTTTTACAGAGTTCATTTTAGGGCATTTCTAGCCAGATCTGTTCATTAGGTCAGGGGGCCCCTTGTACAGGGCAGACCCTGAGTGTCTGCGGGAGAGCTCATGTTGTGCTGTAAGCGCCGTGGAGACTGCAGGGACTGCAGGGACTGAGGCCCCCCCCCCCCCCCCGCCCCGGGCCGTGCTGCTGGCGCTCCTCCTCGCTCTGCGGGTGCCATGTAGCTGGGGCAGCCATGGCCCAGCGCCGGGTCAGGAACTAGAACAGCACGCGTGTGTGCTTGGCACCTGGCGTCCTTTTGGTGCTTCAGGAGGAGGACTGTGCATTCGAATTCAGTACCGTGGGGGTCCTTGAACTGCAGCACAGTGGCCCCAGGGCAGGGGACACTTCAGCGGGAGGCTGTGGAGGCTGAGGTCCCGGTGATGACGTTTCTGTGAACACATACCTGATCATTGCTAGGTTGTTGGTTGTTTGTCTCCTTCTGCTAAAATCCAAGTCCAGAGAGAAGAAAATCTAGTCACTTGCTTTTCTCCGCGGTTTGAGTCAAGTAAATGGCTGCCAGCCCTCTTCCTGGGCAGGAGCCGCAGGGAGGCTCTGAGAGGTCAGCTTTGCAGGGCGGCTCCAGGGTCCCCGGCTGCCTGACCTGTGGCCTCCCGTGGGCACACGTGTCCCTCCCCCTGCGGGTCGTGCTCATAGCTCACTGCCCGAATTCAGCGTGGACTTGCTTCATTCAGCATCTGCACTCGCCTGGCAACAGCAGTGCCCGTGCGCGTAGGCAGCCCTGCCTCAGGGCCTGGCACACAGGTGGGCTCTGCTTCCCACAGGCGCTCTCTCGTGTGCCCTCAACGCCCCTTCACACATACACAGCGCCCCTCACACACACACCCCTACACACCCTCTCACGCCCCCTCACACTCTCACACCCCTCTTCACAACACTCACACCCCCTCATACTCTTACATCGCCTCACACACACCCCCCCACACACTCCCTCTCACGCCCCTCACACTCCCTCACACACACCCTTCTTCAGAACACTCTCACACCCCCTCATATGCCCTCACAGCCCCTCACACTCTCACACCGCTTCACACTTACAGTCTCTCACACACTCTTCACGTCCCCTCGCATGTCCGCACCCTCACGCGGTCCGAATCCACAGGCTGGGAGTGGGAGCCTATAGCGGCCCCCGTGGAGTCCGAGAGGTCGTTCTGCCGCGGTCGTTCTTATGCGACTTCCAGGGGCCTCATTCCTTTGTCTACGAGCGCCGGAGTGTCTGCTCGGTCCTCGGGCCACAGGCTCCTCCCCGTCGCGGGGAGCACGTTCCGGCGGAGGAGGACGGTGACGCACAAGCAGATGAACAGCCCAAGTCCCGCAGTGGAAACAGCGGTGTGACACGGCAGGAGCGGAGGGGACGCCTCTCTGAGGAGGGGACGCTTGGCCTGGGGCCTGACGGGGGAGCCCCGGAGACACATGGGGACGATAGGGGCTCGCTGCGCGGAGGAGCGGCCGTGCCTCGGGAGGAGAGACAGTGAAGGGAGGCCGGTCCGCAGCGGGCGAGCTCAGGCCCTGCCGGCCCAGGAGTCGCAGCTTCTTTTCGGGAGGGGAACCCTCGGCAGGGAGCCAGGCCGGGAGGTGAAGAGCTCCGACTTGGTTTGTGTTGGCCGCTGGGCTGGCTCCTCGCGGACGGCGGAGCCCGGGGAGGGGGATGAGCCGCAGGCGCCGGCCGGGAGGCGGCGGAGTCGTTCAGGGCAGAGCCGCGACGGCTGCGGAGCTCTGCGCCCTCAGACCCTTGTCATCACGGGCCCGGCAGGCAGGTGTCTGCGCAGACGCGCCGCGGTCCTCGCGTGAGGGTGGCTGCGCCCGCGGAGGGACACGTGGCCGGGGGGCGGCGGGCTTGCCTCAGGGCCTCGTCCTCTGTGGTCGGAGTTGGTCTTGGAAATGAGGTCTAAGGCTGAAGCGAGGAGAACGTGCCCATGGGTGCTTTGAGGCCCCTCGTGCGGGGACATGGTCTGTGGCACAGTTCGCTGCCTCCGCCCCAGCAGCGGCCGCGACGCCGGGTCTGAGGCCCAGCAGCAGCGGGGGCGCGGGGCGGGGGCGCGCACGGCCCGCGCGCAAATGGTAGTGAAGGGACCGAGCGCGCGGGGAGGGTGGGGCGAGCTCTGGGAGCTCCAGCCACGTCCTCGTCTGTGTTTATTTATTGTCCTTTCCCCTGGTTCCAGCATCGTCATCCTGTACTTAAGGTTCGGAGCGCAGGTACTGCAAGACAATTTCGTAGCCGAACTGTCCACGCACTACCAGAACTATATCCTTCCCACGGCAGCCTTCAGGCTTCGCGCGCTCCGCACGGGGTGGCCGCTGGGCCGCGGCTGCCGCTGCGAGGGAGAGGCCGGCCGCGCGCTGCGGGGCCCACCCCCGCGGGCAGCGCTCGGGCTCGGCAGGGCCACTCGGTCCCGAGGGAGTCACGCTCCCCAGCTGCCCTCCCTGCCACCCTGCTCTCCTGTCCCTGGGGATTCTTCAGGAACCCAAGCTCTGTGTGGAACCTCGCAGCAGTCCGAGGTGCCTCTTCTCCCCACAGAGCACTGAGGGGAGGCGGAGCCCGATGTGGGAGTCCTCCCTCCCCATCACCCAGATGTGTCCAGCTGCTATATCCACGGGTTTGGCGATGAGGGCAGTTTAAACCTGTGTCCCCAGAAAGGACTCATAAGAGCAGGACGCCCTTCGGGTTCCTACGTGTGCCTGAGGCTCGCGGGGCTTCTCGTCTCCGCATGAAACTCCTCCTCGGGCGCGGCCAGAGCTCGCCACACCCCCTTTCAGCGATGGTGTCCATCAGGGGCGCTTTGGAGTTACTCCCTTACATCTTAGCTTCTTTCTTGGGGGCCTCTTCCATACTTAGAATCAATGCAAGATTTCTCATAAATTTTAGTGGCTGGATTTCATACTAACCTGTTATCAGCTTCTCAGAGCGGTCTGTTACGCTGAGAAGACGAAGAACGACTGATTCGAGAGACTGGTCCCGGTCTTCACTTCAGTCTTGATTTACCCACTTGCGCACTCGGCCCTCCTGCCCTTTGTGTGTAACTTGGTCACGTCAGGTCCTGCCACCTCCAGGGGTTTCCACCGATAGAAAAGAGCGCGGTGCACCTGTTACAGATCACCTTGAAAGGTTACGGTGACCTTTGGCTGTGGGCTTGCCCAGTGGCATCCTGCTGTCTGGGTCCTCGCTGGTGGTGAGCGGTGGAAGGGACTGCTGGTGGTGGAGGGGGCAGCCAGATGGAAAGCAAAGACTCCGGCTGAAATGTCCAAATACGGGGTGTTCCTGCGCTGCTCATTTCCCTTGACCAGTATCACCAGCTGAATTCTTATCTTTCTATGGCCTGTTGAACTTTTACCTCTACACCCTGGCCTTTGTGTATTCTCCGTCGAAGAACGCCCTGTACGGTAAGCCACCCTGCGGCCGCAGTGCTGGGCCCCATAGCCCTGGCCGAGGGACAAGGTAGGCGGCCGGGGTGGGGGCCCAGTCGTGGTGAGAACCCGGCACGGGCTGCGTCGTTAGGGCACAGGACGGGAACAGAGGTTCCGTTAGAGGGGCCCGGCGCACAGGCATGTCCCTCAGCCGTGTGACGCCAAGTCTGTCGAGTGCTAGCACCGTGGCCATTCAGGGAAAGCCAGAACGTGAGAGGAGCCGGACTGTGAGGCAGGCTGAAAAGGACGGGGACGTCCTGGAGCTTGGGCAGCAAAAGCGATGTAGCGTTTCCGACCCACCACCTGGCTTCCCTGTTGTGTGAGTTCCCAAAGCGCCTTCGTGAAAACGTGTTCCTCGAGCCTGGCCGCGGCTCAGCGATGAGGGCGCGGCTAGTCCCCGCTGAGATGAGGAGACTGGATGGCGGGGCTCACGTCCTTCCCAGGGGTGGGAGGAAGCAGGGTGGGCGCCGCTGGTCTCCGGGGTGTTTTCCGCCCCCGTGACCCCCACGGCCTCGGGAGAAGTAGCCGGCCCGCGGCTGCCATTCAAGGGCGCCTCCGGGCACTTCCTGCTAGGTCCGATGCTGCCCCCGACTTGCACGTGAGAAACGGGCTCGGGAGGCAAGATTTGTTCAGGTCCCACCGATGATGATCGGTGGAAGCTGGGATTGGAATCCCGCTCTTTTGGGCTCCTGTCCTTTCTCTGTAGCAGCCCACCTGCCCGGGCTAATCGCATAAAAATGCTTCTGTTGGCTTCCAGAGTCCCAGCTGAAAGACAACCCTGCCTTCTCCATGCTGAATGACTCGGACGATGACGTGATCTACGGGTGAGTCACCGCCTCCCCGAGCATTCGGCCTGCTCTTGTGCATTTACTGAACAGGCCGCCCGTCATTCTAAAATGATTTTCAAGGCTTTATGATGTTTCTTTCACCTGGGAGTGGCCTGCGATCCCGTGAGGTTCTGTTTTTACATTGTTCTGACTAGACTGAGTGGTATTCCCTTTTTCTGAACACTTTGCCCGGGCGGTGACCACAGGAGGACCTGTTCTTCCTGGCGGTGGGCCCCGGTGCTTGCTGGGGGGCGAGGAGCGGGCCGTGGGCGATAGAAATGGGGAGCGCAAGGCTGTGAAACACCTTCTTGCCAGAATGGCACGTCAGTGTGGAAGAGAAGACCAGAGGAGGAGCTATCAAAAGCCGAATGGCATCAAGGGTCTCTTTTGTGACAGGAGTGACTATGAAGAAATGCCCCTGCAGAACGGCCAGGCCATCCGGGCGCAGTACAAGGAGGGCTCCGAGAGCGACTGAGCCCCGGGCCGCTGCAGGCCCGCCGCTTTCCCGAGGCGCTGCTTCCTGGCCTTCCCCACTCCTGCTGGTGTTTGGGCTTGTCTCGTAAGCAGAGATTTCCTGGTCCTCATCTGTTTATGTATTTTTGAAAGGAAAACCAAAACCAAGGAGAAATTTAAACATTGGGCCAAATTTACTTAGATTGGCTGCATTTGGGAAGAGAGGCGCTGTAAGTGTAAACAGCCAAATCCTTTGAGAAAGAGTTCATTTTTAGTGGGGAGGAGGCAATTATTCCTGTTTTTAGTAGAGTTATGTTTTGTTTTGTTTAGTCCATGGAAAGAAAGCCCTTATGAATGCCGTCATCAGCATGGTGGCGTTCTCCTCTTTCTTCCCTGCCCTGTACCAGTTTCAGCCCTTAAACTCAAAGGGAAGCCTATTTCTGTGCCTGTCTCACGAGGGCAGTCCTTCCCTATCGAGTGTTCTAGGTAACCAAGCCTCCCAGGTGACGAATAACTCCTGTCTGGTGTGAAATGCCCGAGTAATGGCTTATTAGGGAAGTGGTGGGCGAGCAGGTTCTAGTCTTGCACCACCACCACCGGGCAGAGCTCGGGTCGTGGGGCTCAGAGGACTGGCTGAGATTCCTAAGGAAAGGGTAAGATAATCGACAAGTGCCAGCTGCAGGGAAGAGGTCTTGCTGCCATAGTTTTCCAAGAGACTGTGTACACGTGTGTGCACGTGAGCGGGTACGTGTGTGAATGTGAACGGTTGTCACTGTGGCTGGGATGGGGAAGAGCGTATCCGCTACAGTTCCTGTAAGCTGTCATTTCTACGACTCCTTTAGAGAGAACACTCCATGGGATTTGTGTGTGTGTGTGAAAGCTAAACAAAGGGTTGATATATTTTAGACTCTTTGCTGTGAAAAAGTTTTTTCAGTTTCACATTTGAAGCCTAGATGAAAGGAAGTAAAACATTTTCGATGACTCATGGCAGCACATCCCTGGGTAGAAGGTCACTTGCTGGGAAGCGTGCCCCGCCCTCCAGCGGCCAGGGAAGAGGAGGGCCGGCTCTCAGAGAGGAAGGTTGTCTCCAGCTGCTCTGTCTGTGGCATCATAGAAGGCCCTGGAGAGCCGCCAGTTCCTTTACGTCAAAGACTGAGTATAAGTCCAGTATAGAGATCTCCTTTCCCTTTCCTCTGAAGTAACGTCTCTCTTGAACCGTTGACATACGGTCACAGCTAAGCCCCTGATGGACGGCGTCGGGGCAGACGCAGCGGGTAGGAGAGGGTTGTGCCACTCTGCAAGCAGGACCTGCGTTGTCTCCATCTATGCAGTAACTCTCAATCGCTCAAAATTGGATTCCACTTTAGGTAAGCCTGGGCCCTTCTGGAGGTTCATGAGAGACTTTTCATTACGACTTCACATCTTTCGGTTTAGTTTAAACTTTAGTGATAACGTACCTTTAATATGGATTCCATTTGTTTTTAAAACCTTGTAAATATAAAAGTTTGAATTAAAACAACTGTTATTATTGCAAGGGTAATTCAAGTTTACATGGTTTTTACATTTTTCAATGGTGTGATGACTTTTTTTGATTCTGTGTACTCCAAGGTACTGGAAAAGTTTTTCTTTTACCAAATTTTTTCAACTTCTACTAAGTATAATTTAATGTAAATTGATGAAAACTTGTGCTAATTAATGTATTCTAATATGTGATATAGTTTACAAGTTAAAATTATTATTAAATGTCCATAATTTGGAATGCTGTTATTTATCGGTAAATGTAAACTATTTGAGGCATTTAGCCATACACATTAGAATTTTTTAACACCTGTCTGCGTCCTGTAGTATAATTATATTGTAAACTGATGACTGATACCTTCATACTTGATTCTTCATGGCATCAAGTCACTGAAATGAAAATATGGGAGTATTTATTTACTTTTTGTAACTAAGTTGGAAACAAAAAAATGATAAAAGGGAGTACATAAGGGGAAAATGATTCTCGTTAAATTGTGCATTTTCAGTCTCCGGTGTGTCGTATGTATCAACATATTACATACTCCATGTAAAAATTTGCTTAAAGTATACAGCATTTAGCATGTAGTTTATATGCCGTAGGCATTAGGTTGAAACACTAAAGTCTGCCAGAAACTTTAGACAGTAGCAAGAAAATTGTTTTTTCTTGGAGAGTATCAGTTTTGCAAACTTCAGTTGTAAATTCAAAGGGCTGACTTTAGTTCTCCATGGTAATGGCTTGAATAACATCATCTTTGGGATAATTTTTTACACTGGTCCAGTCTAGGGGAACCTGGAAGATGACCGTACGTATTCAGCTTCCCTAGGGAGAGCATCATTATCCGTGTGGGTAATAGGTCTGCTTGATTTATTATTAAATCATTACAGCAGTGAAGTGATGCAGTTTTCTCTCTCTTAAGCCCCATTTGAAAGGCTAGAGAAGGGGATATATAAAATATATTCAAGGTTTGTAAGATTGTTCCTGTACATAATTAGATTGCAATAAAAGTTTAGATACATTACGTAAACCCAGCCCACTAAATGGGCAGGTTACAAGACAACTGTCACCAGCCTCAAGCATTCCATGAACTACTTAATGAAGGTGCAGTTGTGTTAAGTCAGTCACGGTATTGTCAGTGACTTATTTCCTGGAATCCTCCTCCCAGGGAAAACCATGGAAGCTCAGAGACCGGATCGTGAAAAGGGACATCTAGTGAGTATGAGTTAAGTCACTAAAGAATATTTATGTATTTTGAAGATTTTAGAAACCAATTGCCTTAGAGGTTAGACTTTTGGGGAAAAAAAGCTACAAATCTTTTCCCCAGGCCCAAGGGAAGTCGCTTTAGTCTGTGACATCTTGTTACCCTGTTCATGTTGACTTGACATGTTTTAGATATACTGGTAACTATGATACCACACAGTGAAACAGAATTTTCTGCTACTGAAAACTGCCTTTTTACAAAAAGATTGTACATATTTGTAAAATAATAACAACTTGAGGTTCAAAGGGAAAGCTAGAACTGTGTAACAGATCCTGAAACTGTGTCCACGAGCACAGAAACCCCTGATGACAGAACGATCATTGTATTCAATCAAAAGTGAATAAATGTTTATTTATGGCAAACTGACACTTGGGAATGGCTTCATTGTGAAACTTCCTTTCTGGTAAATATTAATGAATTTTACATACTCAGTCCTTTCTTATGGCATTTATTTGCTCCTGCGTGTGTTCATTTGGCCATTCAGGCATGAGTGCTTTGGGGCCAAAAGTAGAACTTTCTTGATTTCAGCAAGTGGACACAAAGCCTGTCTTTATTCCTCTGTGAACGTGGCCGTGGATGAGCGCTGAAGGTGAGGTCACAGACTGGGGCTTGGGGCCCACCTCCCCCCTTATATAACACCTTTCAGTCCATCAGATAGCCTCCCAACGGGGTCTCTATGTAATGCTGATGTATAAATAAGGGCCTAATATGGACACAAAATGAATGACGGTGAAAGCATGTGGGAGGCCCTGCAGCACTAGCTCCTTTCTGGAGGACTGCAGCTGACGCGGGGAGGAGGCTGGAGCAGAAGCCTGCGCGCCACGGCCCGGGCAGGGCGTGCGGCCTGGAGTCCCGGCCGCAGTGGGGACCAGCTGGCCGCCTCCTGGAAGCTGCAGGACCCTGCACCCCCCGGGGCCACGCAGCACGCCCTGCAATCGACAGGACCAACACAGATCGTAACTTTTTGTTTTTGCAATTTTATAGATTCTAAAATCACTAGTGAAGTCGGAAGAATTCATTTGTGGTATCATTTAGACTCTGAAGAAAAACACAAACTTCAAAGTGGAATAATTTATTATTCTAACCAAAGTACAAAGTATGGAAAATTAGTGTATCTGAGAGAGAGAAAGTTTCAAACTAGCAGATTGCAGTTTTTAGCACCTTTGGAAAAGAAATATTCAGAGTTAAGAGAGTGGCAGCAGAGGCCTGAGCACCCAGGATGACAGTCCTCGGACTTGGCTATGCCGTTCACAGAACAGGGCAGTCACCTGGCTGTCCTTGACGCCGTGAGCGCCACGAGAGAGAGGAGGAAGGTGCTGGCCGGAGCCCGCGGCCGTGGGGAGAGGCGGCGCGCGCAGGCACGGGCGGAGGCCGGCGAGCCTCAGATGGACAGCCCGAAGGCGCTGACGATGCAGTACATGGTCTTGTTCTCCCACCGCACGGTGCAGCTGCCTGCGGGGAGAAGGCACGGAGCTCAGCCCGGGGAGCCGGGGGCGCGCCGCCCCGACCTCTCACACTTCTGCACGGCCCACGAACAGGGAAGGCCGCTCAGCCTGGGCTCTCTGCAAGGCGTCAGCAGGGGACTCTGGTAGGCACGCATCCCGAGACCGGAAACATCCAAGCCCGCGCTCCAGAAAACCCTGCCTGGAAAACTCTAGGTCTCAGCGGGGTGGAGGAGGCGCCACGCGGCCTCAGGGAAAGGCCCGTGACAAGTGTTCACAGAGCAAAGGGGAGACCATACCGTCCGTAGAGCTGTCCCAGAAGCAGGAACTCGCCGTGTGCAGCCCCGCTCCGTTCTTCTGCATAATCACACAGGTCACTTCAACGAAAACAAACGTCTGTTAGAGAAATCTACTTGGCAACACACCTTTCTCTCCGCCTACTCTCCGCATTCGGACGTGGATCCCGTGGTAGGTGTCCATGGGGCAGTCACCGGGGCAGACTGGCCCTGTGACAGAGGCATGCCACAGCCTGCCCCGCCCTCCCCCCCCCCCCCCCCCCCCCGTGCCTGTTCTCCAAGCGCCTGGCGTTAAGTGCTGGGAAGTCCCGGAGGTGCGCCCTGCAACTGTTCCAGCCGCCCGCCAGGCCCGCCGGGGGTCAAGCGCACGGCATGGGGACCTGCCCCTACTGCTGCGCATGTGCTCTGAGGTCACACGCTGCTGCACCTCTTCTGACACCAGTCCCGCCTCTCAGCAGTGCTTCAAGAACCCCCCCCCCCCCCAGTATGTAGGAGAGGCAGAGGTGCATTACCGATGTACTTAAATGGCTTTCCCAGCTTGGTGAGTTGGCTTAAAGTTTGTTCTACTACGTTTGTGGTCCACTGATTCACTTTGCTGTGCTGGTAGGCATTGCCACCGATCGCGCTCTCTATAGCCTGGAACACAGAGCAGAGGTCACTGTTCGCAGAAGACGCCCAGTGCCCTGCGGCAGGTACCGGAGTTCCTCACCCGAAGACTGTGGAAATATAATCTGCATAAAACGTGAGCATAAGCCATGAGCACCCCTTTGGAAATACACCTTTGTTTAACAGCGTCCTCCTTCATTAAATGTTTTGTTTTTTTTTAAGATCTTATTTATTTGACAGAGAGACCGTGAGAGAGGGAACACAAATGGGAAATGGGAGAGGGAGAAGCAGACTTCCCCTGAGCAGGGAGCCCAATGTGGGGCTCAATCCTAGGACCCTGGGATCATGACCTGAGCTGAAGGCAGAGGCTTAACAACTGAGCTATCCAGGCGCCCCTCATTAAATAAATTTTATACCATTTTCTAAAATCCACACTTATATAGGATCTGTCAATTTTTAAAAACATGTTGACTGAATTTACTGTCGACTGTTGTAGTTGGTACCTGGAGATAATCTTTTTTTTCCTACTGAGGCTAGAAAATATTCTCCTTTGCCCATTCCTTTCTTAAAAGTATAGCAGACAGAAAAATCCTTACTGGTTGTACAACTGACAACATAAAAACCTACCCAAATAATCATGTCTTCAAAAATACTTCTTTTATCCCACATTTTCTGGGAATATGTTAACACTTAAGTATACTTTTCAGATAATAAAAAAATGAGTCCTATATATTACAAAAATTATTTTAAGCTTATGATGAATTTTTCTGTTTGAAATTGTCTCTTCCCATCCTGCATCCTGGAGAGGGTTCAGAGTTTACTCAGGAATACGTAGTACAGCTGCTTGCCCCTTCTCTTGCCCAAGTTTGTAGTTAGGCTATTACCATTTTATGATTTTCTGGGCCTCTTTATGCTGATGCCAGTGTGCCTGCCTCTAACTAAGTGGCTTTCTTCTCTACCCCTTTTCTAGCTAGAAACCAGAAACCTGAATTCTGATGACAGTTATGATCTAAAATCATTTGAGGAAGGCCCAGTACTGTCCTCAGGCATGCAGAGAGAAACAGTCCCGGGGTCTGAGTTGTATACACTCGAGATGCATTAGGGTCTACTGTCTGGGACAAAAGCTCAGTGATCTTGCTTTTGAGGAACAAAGAGCTACCTATAATCACACCCTGATTTCTACCCATTTATCCTGGGACTCTGAGCAGTCATTAGACACACCTCATTTAGCTTCTAGCCTTCCCCTGCACCCCCACCCATTATCATAGCTTCTTCTCATCCTCTGACATGTTCTGCCCCCTCCCCAACTCGGGATAAAATGAGGTTGTGGGGACATAGGTGCTCCTAGTTTAAAAGGACCTGGTTATTACTAGATCTGGATATTGGTCAAAGAAGTTGGGGGGTGGTGAAGAAGAGGGGGGCATTGCTCAAGCTGAACATCTAACTTTGGCAGCTCTCTCCACATACACTTTGGAATTCACTGTTTTTCAGAGAGGGAGGAAAACTCCCCTCCAATTTTGGACTCAAATTTATTACTGCGCAATCCTTAAAAGAGCTCCAGGGAAGAATTAACCTATTGCCAGGGGCGAAAAAGCTGTTGACCCCAGTGACCACGTGAGAGTACCACAGCAATGTTACTTGATGCTTTCGTGGAGACTGGAAGAGTCTATGTTCAACTGCACTTGTTGCCTGGCAACTGAGTCAAAGACGATGCGGAAAACAAGTGAGATCACAGGGGACCTCGCAGCAAGCCATCCCCACTTCTCACAGTTCAACTGCGGCTCCAGCACCTTCTTGCTACCCACCCCCCGCCCCTTGTTCCTTAAGAAACACCGTGTGCGAAAACAAAAGCAAACCGTTACAGGTCCTGAACAACAACTAGAAAATCACCTGTGCTGGTGAATAACGCATATGGTAGAACAAAATCATTTTGCTTTTTGGTGTTTTGCTGTTTTTGGTCACAAAAACAGGCTGTGGTTCTTCATCACTCTGGCATTAGATAAAAATCTGCGTTACAGTCAATTCCACATTACACACATACTCTCAGCTGGCACTTTAAACTTCGATCATCTAATGGCTTTCCTCTGGCTGATGGCTTCAGTCTGTGCTCAATTTACACAGGAAGAGAAGGACTAATAAGGAAAATCCTTCTGGCCTCATTCCCGTCCCAGGACTCTGCACTACTCCGGGCCCATCTGCTTCATTTCAGTCCCTCAAACGCACCATACACAGTCCTGCCACAGGGCCTGTGCACGGGCACACTTCCTGGAATGTCTGCCCCTCTTTTTGCGGAGTTAACACGACTCCTGTTCATTCTCCAGATTCTAGCTGTGAATGCACCAGGTGAGTCAGATCCCTCACAGCACCATGTACGGTGGCACACGGTACACACAGGGAATCCACGGTTACATTTTCTGGTGTGACGATTTGGTAAGTGCCTGCCTGCGCCCGCCCTGTACTGTAAACCTCTTGATAGTCAGTCCCTAATGCCCCCTTGACACGTATTTTTCCAATGAATGAAGAACAAATACCCCATTTTGTCTTCCACTGCCATCATGTAAGGGAGGTACCATGGTGAAAAATGATGAAATAGGTAGTTCAGGAATATAAGACAAACGGGTAAGCCCCACCTGGATCATCAGGTCGTAAGTAACTGGAAGTTAATCAGTTTTTTATATTCACTCTTTATTCGACACCAGAAACATTTACTTGTATACCGTGACCACAAGTCTTTTATGTTAAAAGGTTACAGAATCAAGTCTTAGTAATATTCGATAATAATGCTAATATATTACTTTTCCTGTCTGGTTTAAAATATATAATTTACATAATATGGGAGTAATTCTTATCTACATATTCACTGAAGTAAAAACTGTTATTTGAAATGCCAAAACACACAGGCTCAGTTGAAACAATTCCAAGATAGTATTTAGAACACATTATTTTCACTCATAAAGCCATTAATCAACATATTAAAAACAAGCATTCTTCCTCTTACCTCTTTTACAATGTTGCTCACTTCATCGACAACAAAAGCAGTCTGTAAGCAAGAAAATAAGTTAAGTTTGATGGCTTTAAAAGATCGGTTTCCACTGCACTGATTAATGCAACGTTGTAATGAATACAATTTAGAAATGAGGACTTAGAAAGAACCAAACTAAATTTCTCATTTTACCAAGAGACTCAGAAATGCCGAGTGGCTCTTTGAGGATCACAGAGCAGGTGAGAGGCCGTCAGGAGTCTAGAGTATGTATATAACTTAAAGGGCTTTGGTTTGTTTTAATCATGCCATGGGCCAAAAGGCTGACCTGACTTTAGATTCAATCTCTCTCTCCATTTCAACTGGCTGACTAGCATCATTAACAAACCAGAAGTTTAACGAGTTCCTTGACTTTTGTTTAAAGTAGCTGACACCTTTCCTGATGTAAACTGATTAGGAGGTTGGAAACTTAAAAACGTTTTGTTTTGTTTTTATCCACCGTTAGTGATAAAGTGTACAATACTACTACTTCCCCAGAATTATGTGTCCTTTTTAATGCTGTCCTACTTCAGGACAGCACCGGCTGCTGGTACAGCCGTTCTCCACCAGTGCCTCAGGGAGAGCAGGGAGGTGGGCTGCCACCAGTAATCTAATGGCAGGAGCTTAAAGATGGTTTTCTTTTTACACAGGGTACATTTGAAAGGGCACAAGGTTCTGAGTGCTGCGAACAGTACTTAGCTCTGAACATGCCTTCTAGAGGGCAGCCCCAGGCCCTCAGTCATTGTGAATCCTGGTGGAATAAAGTCAGAGTGCCCTGCTTCTGGCAGTGAGCTTTCCTGCCTGCTGGATGCCAACTACCAGGGCTCTGTCCACGCCACGCCTTTTCTCTCCATAGGATCGAGTGCAGACTGCCTGAAGCCCTCTCACTTGCTGTACTCACGAGCTGGCCTGCTTGCAGACAAATCCAACTCTCCAAATGAATGAAAATTTGCTGTATCTTACAGATCAAATGATTTCTTGAGATTTAAAGGATCCTTCCAGGGACTTCCATGATACTAAACCATACGGAAATGTCCCTGTGTAACTAGCCACGTGGCTAACTAGGAAAAAGGTTGAAGGGCATTTCAGTGGACTTTTAGTGGAAAGTGGAATTGTACAGAATCCCCTGGGCAGTTTCAGCTTCTTTAAGAAATAAGAACAATGAGTTGAGAGTAGTCTTACAAAGGTCCAGGTATGTACATGAAGTCAGAGGCTAAGCAGAAAAGGCTAGTTCAGAAGAGACTGGCATGGATTAGCAAATACCTAAGGCACCCCGACTAGAAAAAAGTCAAGGTCTCATCTTCCAAAGGGCCTAGGCCTTTATCTCCTGTAAACAGACACTCTGTTCAGCCCTTCAATTTACAGATCTGCAAGTGAGATCTGGAATAATGAAGTCCCTTAGCCACCCCATTTGGTGGGAGCCAGAATTAGAATGCCAGTATTAAGAGATTTCTCTTACAGTGTCATTTCCTTTTTTTTTGTTTAAGTTTTATGGCTATCCCTATAATACAAGCTATTTTCCTAAATTAGTTAGTTTATGGAGAAAAGCTTTTCCTTTGCTAGATGCTCCTGAGCCATGTCTTCTCATAATTATCCACTGGTTGTTCGCAGCAGTCAAACACTGATACCACACGGCCATTCATGGGGTACTTAGGAAATCAGATCAAAACGGAAACTCTAGCATCAGTCCTTAAGTCTTAGATGTTTTCTTTCCCCTCCAAACATTCCTGCTTACACTGTTTGAAAAATGGTAAAATATCAAACCTTAACAACTTCACCTATAGCTTTTATTTTTGACAGTCTGCATAATATGTAGGACTCAACTTATTTCAATTTCAACGAGAATTATTACTTAGCAAGAACAAAATGGGCAACTATTTTTCTATAATGGCCCCCATCAGCTATACTCCCTAGTGCGTGTTAAACGGAAGGGAAGCACACCGTTAGAACAAATGTCTGCTGCTCGGCAAGTAATTGTGTGGTTTACCCTGCTTCTTCATCGAGGCAATGAGAGATTGTCTTTCCCCCACAAATAGGAGCTCTCACACTGACATCTCAAACTCAAATTGAAAATGAAACTTAAGTGATGGCAGCCATGGTGGGTGTAAGCACCGAACTGAAGAACAAGGTTCGGGCCGGCAGACAAAGGCAGGCTCTCCTACAGTGCACTTCTGCATTTCTCACACAGCCTGAGACCTGAAAGATGCGACTGCATTTGCGTGTCACGCGTGCATGTCATTCTGGAGTCTTGCGTTAAAACAGCAGCAGACATACATGCGGCCTTCAGTCTTCCCCAGCCGCAGACGCGGAGCACCTAGTCCAGGGTGGGGGTCTGCACCGCCGAATAAAGGGAGGGAGTGATAGCAGCCTCCCGGCGGGCCCGGCTCCGTGGAGCAGGGTCGGGAGGGGCAGTAGGGTTAGGGAGTGGAGCGGATCGGGGGCGTGGCGGGGCTGCACGCAGCCAGGTTCCGCGGGCAGCGGGAGCGCAGCGAGTCAGGGGTGTGGCGGGTCCGCGCGGAGCCCAGACACGGGGCGCTGCGGGGCAGCGGGTGTGGAGCGGGGCGGGGGCGTGCCGGGCCGGCGCTGGGCCAGGTTCGGGTAGCGGCTGGCCGAGGGGCTGCAGCAGGTCGGGGGCGTGGCAGGCCCGCGCGGAACCAGGCTCGCGACCCGGCGGGGCCAGGGGCGCGGCCGGCACCGGCTGGCTCGGGACACGGGGCGGGCAGGGGGCGCCAGGGACGGGAGAGGCCCCGCCCCAGGTAGAAATCCCAAGGCTGCGGCACCCCTCCCGGAAGAAAGAGTGGGCGCACGCCGCCACGCGGGGAGCCCCTGCCCAGCCCCGAGCTCCGCCCCCGGGCCCGGCGCCGACGCCCCGAGCAGGCCGGGCCGGGGGTCACCGCGCAGCGCTGTGGAGGGCGCTGGTACCGTCAGTCTGCCCCGGAGACTGCCGCCGCCCACGTCCAGACGCGGCCTGGAAGCCCACACACGCCCTTGGCTGTTGCCGCCCACTTGCGCCGGGCGTTCTCGGCCTTCACCCTTCCATTTCCCGACCCGGCGGTTACCTCCTCCGCAGCCTGGTAGTCTTCCATCTTCCCTCCTGCGCGTCGCCTCCGCCTTCCTGAGTAGCGCGCACTGCGCAGGCGCACTCAGGCTCCGCCCTTCGACCTCCCGCCCCGCCCCGCGCCCCCCCAACCCCGCTCCGGACCCACCCCGCTCTAGGGCCCCTCCCACGGCCGAGTAGCGGGGCCGGGAACTCGGGATCCGCCCCTCCTCCGGTCCTCCCCCACCCCACCCCACCCCACCACCGGTGGTTTCCGTGGGAACCTGCTCAGTATCCCGGCGGCTCCCAGGACCGCAGCAACTAAAACAAAACAAATATGCAAAAGCCATTCTCCTGTCCGGCCCTAACCTCCAGCTAGTACTGTGTGGATTAATTTGAACATTCGAATGGGTTCGGACATCTATTAACAAATTGTAAAGGGATTTCTGAACATGATGAGCCGCGTGAGAAATTGCTTTCAGTCTTCCTGGAGATCCAGGATTAGGAAACTTGAGCTCTGAACGAAACCTTCCTTTGCGGAGGTAAATTTTCTATGTAAATGAGTTTTTTTTTTTCTTTAATGACCATTAGAAAAACATTCTGGGTGGAATTTTTTTGTAAAATGCTGTACACTTCCTGGCTGCTTTAAGCAAACTAAACTAAACAGACACTTGGATATAGGGGTCAATCGTACAGCCCTTGAACAAGAAGGGCTGGTCTATGGGCACCTGTTTGCATGTACTCCGAGGCTAAGATCTTTGCCTTTGGGGGCTGCTTTCTCTGGTTCTACTAGGTCCTTGAAATCAAACTGTCACTTCTTACCACTCCAAAGTCCAGTTGCTAAAACTGACTTCCCAACCCCCCCAGGAAGGGCAGACCATAGGCCCTTGAGATGTGGTAGATTTAAGCTACAGAGCTCATTTTCAATTCATCAGAAACCCTTGCTTCTACTCTCTTAATCTAAGTTCCATGAAGGCAGAAGCCATTTTGTTTCCTGATGTGTCCCCCCTACCCATTCAGTTGTGCCTGGCACAAGTTGGTGTATAATTAAAATTGAATGAATGAATGATTTCCCCAAAGGTGTCAGTTCTGCCTCATGGCCAACTGGGAAGAGCTGGCCAGTGGAGAAAGACCCCATCCCCTGCCTCCAGAGGGCAGGTGAGCAGGGGCCCAGTGGTGAGAGACACAGCGGTGCTCTGCCTGGAGCACTTGACCTAAGTGACCATTCTGAACTGTGTTTTCCTTTTCAGTTTTGTTCGGCTTCAACTCACCTGTTTCAGGGTTTACAGCCTTGTGCCTCACATGTGATTCTAATTCTGACATTTCTTTGTCCTGGCCTCTGACCTTCCCAGGTTCACCTGAGATCCCATTTTAGGCGTCCTTCTCCCGCCTGCCTGCTTCCAGGCCCCCAGCGGCACCACGCCTGGGAGCCAAAAGGGTATTTTCACCATCTTCCGGTTTCCTCGGGCCACTCTGCGGTGGCCCTGGAGGCCCACTAGGTAAGTGTCTCAGAATTGTGTGCAAAGCCAGAGTGAGCAGCTTCTGAGGGATAGTCTGCATTTGAATGTCATGAGGTTCATTGTTTAGCAATTGCTCCACAGCCTTTTAGGAACTTTCTAAGTCAAACGAGTGTGGATGGCTTCCGGGATGAATGATGTGTCAGTATTGCATAGACTTCGTGTTGTGCCTGAAACTCACCAGCGCGTGCATAAATCAACAGAAAACACGTAAATGTGAATTTTAAAAAAGTTACATGACGTTAGCTTCTGTGCATTGGGGGCTGCTCTCCGATTTTAACTATCAAAGAACATTCATCAAATGATCGAGGCATATGGCCTAGTGAGTCTGCCCCTAGAAATGGAGAAATTGGTCTCTTCATCTTCCGAAGTGTGTGTCCACTTGTTCTCCCCACGTACACGTAACACTCACTTGGTTTAAGCCTCTGAGCTGGAGCTGAGGCTACAGAGTTGACTGAGATATGATCACTCTGGCAAATTTTTAAAAATAAACTTTCTGCAAACAGGGGGGCTTGAATTCTCTAGGTTCGGTGATGGAGTGCTTGGAAAAATGCAGCGATATGGTGGGCTATTCTGCCTAATGGTTGGACACTCTGTAGGGCTAAGGAATTTATAATCACCAGGGCGTTTGGCAGTCCACTAGCTGCCATTTCCAGCGCGCGCAGTCCGCCGAGAATGAACGTCCATCCCAAGTACTCAAGTGCGCACACGGCGACTCCTAGCTGCTCATCAGTCTCTGGAAGTCAGCCGTGTATTAGAAAAGTGTTTCGTTTCTCCACAGTAAGTCGGGAGAATGAATCTCTGGTTTGTTGTTCAAGGTTGGGGGTGAGCCGTAGGTTGGCAGGTGCTGTGTGCTTTCTCCCCTCAAATCGAATCTCTTACATACAAACTCTTTAAAATAAGGATTGGCGTCGCCAGTGCCTTCGTTTAGCAAGTGTGGGCCGCTCGTCACAGCCGTGTCACCCAGGAAAAGTGTATCACCAGGCACAGATGGGTCTCGCGGGGTTGTCTGTGATCTGCGGCCCCTCACCACCCAGATGCAATCTTGCGGACGTTCGCGTTTTCCTGCCTTTTCCTGTGCTCATGAGCCTCAGTTGTACCATGGAGTCATGACAATAATAAGTCGACAATAATAAGAATAATTCAGTAGCAAAGATGGCAATGCCAAACACCCAGGCCTGAGGAATTCAGAGCTGTAATGGAAAAGAAAGTAAACTTGTGGCTGACTCCTCTCTGAAGTGAGTCCGCTGCTATGAAATTACATGGGAACTGGATTGGCTAGGAAATGCCAATCCTTAGATCTGCTGTGAGCTGGGAAGCACCAGCGGATCGGACTGCAGTCCCTCTGTGCGGCCCGGAAATGGCAGTCCCTCTTCCTCCCGACCCAGGCTACCTCCACCCCATCCCTGAGACCCCAAGTGCCCAAGATCCAGCAACTAAAGGATAACTTATGTCATGGTAGCGGCCTCCAGCTGGCATTTATTCGTGACTGGTTGATTTTTTAAAAATATTTATTTGATAGAGAGGGAGGGTAGGACATGAGCATGGGAGAAAGGTAGAGGGAGAAGCAGGGAGCAGGAAGCCAACGCTGGGCTCAATCCCAGGACCCCAGGATCATCACCTGAGCCGAAGGCAGACGTTTAGCTGACTAAGCCACCCGGGCGCCCCGACTTTTGTGCTATAGTAGGTATGAAATTGTTGCTCAGTTCTGTGTATAAGAAAAGTGCGCTAGATTGGTCAGCATAGGCTGAGTTAGCCGCAAAAACAAATGGCCCTCGTCTCCTGGGGGTTGATAACAACAAAGTTGTATTTGTCACTCATACAACATGACCATCAGGTGTCCGCTATGGCTCCGTCCCATGTCTTCTCCATGCCAGAATCGTAGAGGGAGGAGAATGGGACAGGGAGCAGTGGCCCGTGTGCTGGCTAGGAGGCACTGCTCGTAACAGGCAGGGGTCACCTCTGCTCACATTTGTCATCCAGAGCAAGTCTCTTAATCAGCTGGAGTTGACAGGTAGGAACATGTAAGGAAGAAGAGGGCTGCAGCCCGGCACACGGAGCATTCAGAAGGTTTCCCTTGGTGATCAGTCATGTTCACTCTCTTTGCCGACCTGACCGCTCACCCATTCTGGGGCTCTCTCCTTCTACTGCTGCTCTGGTCTAATCCCCATGTTGGCCCTGTGTCACCTCTCTTTAGTTGCAGATGGGATCTAATTGATACCTATTCAATTTCAACACCCATCTCTTTTTCTTTTGAAGATTTTATTTTTAAGTCATCTCTGTACCCGATGTGGGGCTCAAACTCACAACCCCGAGATCAAGAGTTACCTGTTCCATGGGGCGCCTGGGTGGCTCAGTGGGTTAATTCCTCTGTCTTTGGCTCAAGTCATGATCCCAGGGTCCTGGGATCGAGCCCCGCATCAGGCTCTCTGCTCAATGGGGAGCCTGCTTCCCTCCCTCTCTCTGCCTGCCTCTCTGCCTACTTGTGATCTCTGTCTGTCCTCCCTAAATAAAATCCTTAAAAAAAAAAAAGGTTGCCTGTTCCACCAACTGAGCCAACTGAGCCATCCAGTGCCCCTCCATACCCATCTTCTAACCCTTCCCTGCTGTCCTCTATAGCCCGGAGCCTTAGGCTCGTGGTCTCCAAACTTCTTTAATTTTGCTGCTTTACCAGGAACAATTTTTGAGCATGTATCCCAAAATTATGTGCACTTCCATTGGGATACATTAAACTATGAATCCATTTATTAAGCTTTCATCAAGTTTAAATTTTAGCTTCTTAAAAAATAAATCTAAATGGAAGTTTTGATGTTTTCTTACTACATCCTGCTGTTACAGGCTGAAGCGCATCCCTCCTCAAATTTGTATTTTGAAGTCCTAACCCCCAGGACCTCAGAATGTGACATTATGTGTTTGGAAATGAGTCATTATTTGGAGATGGGGGCCTTTAAATAGACAGTTAAGTTAAAATGAGTTCATATGGGGGGGGGGCCCTAATCCAGTACGACTGCCTCCCAGACAGCACAGAGAGATCTTGTGAAGACAGAGAAGACGGCCATTCACAGGCCAAGGACAGAGGCTTCCAGAAAGAAACAATCCTCCCGACACCTTGATCTTGAACTTCTAGACTCCAGAATTATGAGGAAATGAATTTCTGTGGTTTAAGCCACACGTGTTAGGGTATTTGCTCCAGTAGCTCTAGCTAAGTAATACACCTGCTTTGGAAATTATTATCATAGGGTTCCCTCATTCTAGAAGCATTTTCTTCCAAATATTCCTAAATGGATTCACTTAGTATCTTAGGCTGCAAATAATACTATGACTACTAAGTAGTTTTTGTGTATTAAAGATCTTCTTGGGCTGGGGGTCCCCAACCACAGTCACTCTGGCAATGCCTGATGTGCATAATCAATGTCTGTGAATGAAAGGAATGAACTCGAAAAATGAGGCGAGAAGCTTGTGACCCTCACCAGGAAATGGCTCTGAAAGGCCACATGGTTTGCTCAAGGTCAGTCTGCTCTGTCTCACCCCAAAGCTTGCCCTCTTAATTCACTCCTGCCTCTCATCACAGCCCACTACCCCCTCCTACCCACCTCTTCTCTTCTG